TGATATTTGGTTCCAAGGAGTGTATCCTCTCGAGCTGAATGATTTGAAACAATGAACTCATCCACGCTTTGAAACATGGAGAGGTCAGAAGTTTATCAGTTTAAAATGACCTCTTTTTCATAAGAGTTAATCATGTTATGAGAAAAAATTAACATTACAGATTCTTTATGATGTCAATCTTTGGATGAGTATTTGTATCTGAGTTGTGGCATGGCAATTGTAATGATTCATTAGAATCGTATTGATCCATTTGCACACTCTTTAATGTTAAAGCAGTAATGATGAAGGGAAACTCACACACAGTGAAATAAACAGGCTTTCCTGTGGGGTGATCGATGAGCAGGTGTGGGTCGAGGCTTACAGAGAACAATCTTAAATCGAGAGACAGGCAGAGATCAGGGCTGGCAGCAGACTGTGGGTCTGGAACATGGAGCTGCAGTGGCCCGGGATCATGAAGCTGCAGAAGGCCTAAAGTACTGCGGGGAGCCGGCAGGGCTAGTCGTCTGGGTGGAGCCGGCAGGGCGAGCTGTCTGGGTGGTGACAGTAGGACGAGCCGTCTGGATGGTGCCGGCAGGGCAAGGAGTTGGGCTGGGACCAGCACTGAGCTATGCTCTGGGGCTGGAGCCGACACTGGAGGGCGCTCTGAGGCTGGGACTGACACTGGAGGGCGTTCTGGGGCTGGAAAAACCCTAGCTTTAAAGGCCTTTCTCTTCAGCCTCCGTCTTTGGGTGCGGGTTAACTCTTGGGGGTTGGTCATGGGCTTGGACCCTTCTTGAGACTCAGGTGGCGACTCGGACCCCCTGAGAGACTCAGGCAGCAGTGGCAGTGGCAGCGCTGGCATCGACTCTGGCAGCTCAGGCGGTGGCATCGACTCTGGCGGCTCTGTCGGCGGCGGTGTCGACTCTTGAACCACAGATCCACGTGCAGGTTTATTAGAATCGTCAGGCAAGCAAAGGTCAATTCAGGTGCAAACAGATATATGCAGACAATCCAGAATCATAGTCGAATAACAGGCAAGGATTCAGAAGGCAGGCAGCAAACAAAGACAAAAGGATAAGCTAGGCTAAGGATCAAAAACAAGGCAAAGGCAGACAAAGGAAAACATGTTGTAATGTCACTATCAGTAAACAAGACTCGGCAAACTGAATGGGTGAGTGTGTGGCTTAAATAGTGTGAGCAATCAGTCTCTGACAATCCTCAGGTGGTGTGAATGTAATCAGTTTAGATGAGCAAGTATGTGTGTCTGTGACCGGAGTGCATGTATGAAAATGTAGTCCAGAAATGGCGGATTTGTAGTCCATGGTTATTGAGAATGAAATCCAGCGATCTTATGAAAGACGATTGCTGATAATCGTGACACAGTGATTGCTCCCTCTGATGGTTTAAAGGAGAACGCTCACTGCAGGAATCATATTCATATAGTCTGAAAAGCTATATTAATATATTAATAATAATATAATTCAATTAATAATGAATAATAAAAATTGAGCCAGGGTTTAGAGTTGAGCATTTCTTTATTCTGGGTACACAGTATTCGGCGAATAACACAGTTATTCTGGTCTGGGTGCACAGTATCTAGGTATCTAATAAAATTAATTATTTTCTTTTGTATTGAGAACTGCCTTAATCTTTCATGGCATAGATGAAACAAGCTGAATTCAAGCTTTTATGTTGTTAACGCTAAATTCTGACCATACCATTCAAATCTTGAAGCAGAAATCGAGACTCATCAGACCAGGCAATGTTTTTCCAATCTTCTATTGTCCAATTTTGGTGAGCCTGTGTGAATTATAGCTTCAGTTTCCTGTTCTTAGCTGACAGGACTGGCACCCGGTGTGGTCTTCTGCTGCTGTAGCCCATCTGCCACAAGGTTTGATGGCTTCAGAGATGCTCTTCTGCAAACCTTGGTTGTAACGAGTGGTTATTTGGGTTACTGTAGACTTTCTATAAGCATGAAACAGTCTGGCCATTCTCCTCTGACCTCTGGCATCAACCAGGCATTTGCCACTGAACTGATGCTCACTGGATATTTTCTCTTTTTCAGACCATTCTCTGTAAACCATAGAGATGGTTGTGCATGAAAATCCACGTAAATCAGCAGTTTCTGAAATACGCAGATCAGCTTGTCTGGCACTTACAACCATATCACATTCAAAATCTCTTAAATCACATTTCTTCCCCATTCTGATGCTCTTTTTGAACTGCAACAGATGATGTAGACCATGTCTACATGCCTACATGCATGAGTTGCTGCCATGTGATTAGAAATTTGCAATAACAAGCAATTGGACAGGTGTACCCAATAAAGTGTCCTGTGAGTGTATATGCCCACACTACAGGGTATTCAAGTAACACTGTATCAATGTTAAATGTAATGAAATAATGAAATGGTATTTCAAAGGACCTTATCAAAGACCTGTGAGAGAAAGCATTTTAAGACAGAATGGAGCAAGATAAAAACAAGACCAGAGGGAAACAGAAGAAATATAAAAAGCAGCCGAAAACATCACAATAGTTGAGATTCAAACCCTGAAATTTTGTTCTGTTTTGTGATTCAGATTTTTAAAAAATAAAAATAAAAAAATACTTTAAAATGTATCTTAAAAGAAAAGAAAAAAGAAATCACTTGAAAAATGATTTAGTGTGGTCATGATCAAAATTACATACTTGAAATCATGCGTATATTTGGCGTGGAACTATGAGAAACTTTTGATTTACTGTGTTCACTTTTGTAGAAGATAGTAAGCAAACAAACAAAAAAAAATGCAGTGTATTTCTGGAATCACGGAAACAATTTAAGAAATTGTTTACCAAGATTGCTGTCTTTTGAGGAAATATGGGGAAGATTTGATAAAATTCTGAAAACTTCCCTGTTGTTTTATAATACATTTATGGTAATACTAATTAATGGACTATTTTCACTGTCTTTTTTGTTGTATTACATTAAATCACAAAATAAAATGTTGTTTTAATGTCGGCAGAGGGAGTAATGATACATTTACATACAAGATCTTACATAATGACTGTCATTAGTTTTGGATGCATGGCCATAAAATACAATCTAACTTTAAATGTATAATTACTTAGGACAAAATGTTACACTACCAACTTGTGGATAAACATCTTCAGTTCAGTTCAGTTCCACACAGTTCCACCATGAATACACATTAAGATTTTAAGCAATGGTTGATGTAATGTCAGCTAGAGGTTGTAAACACACACGCACACACACACACACACACACACACACACACACACACACACACACACACACACACACACACACACACACACACACACACACACACACACAAACACACACACACACACACACACACATATATATATATATATATATATATATATATATATATATATATATATATATATATATATATATGCATACACACACACACACAGTTGACGTCAGAATTATTAGCCCCCTTTAAATTTTGTTCTTCTTTTTAAACTATTTTCCAAATGATGTTTAACAGAGCAAGGAAATTTTCATAATATGTCAGACAATATTTTTTTTTTCTGGAGAAAATCTTATTTGTTTTATTCCGTCTAAAATAAAAGCAGTTTTTAATTTTTAAAAAAAACATTTTAGGGACAAAATTATTAGCCCCTTTAAGCTATATTTTTTTCTCCATAATCGACAGAACAAACCATCACTATACAATACCTTGCCTATAACTACCCTAAACTGTCTAGTTAACCTAATTAACCAAGTTAAGCCTTTAAATGTTACTTTAAGCTGTATACTTTTGCTTTGAAAGTTAGGTCACATTTCATTTAAAAAAAAAAAATTAATTAAGTGTCTAAGGTTTCATAAAAAAAACAATATATATATATATATATATATATATATATATATATATATATATATATATATATATATATATACTTACATACATATTTATTTATTTATTTATTTATTTATTTATTTATTTATTTATTTTATGAAACCTTGGAAACAATTAATTATTTTTTTTAAATGAACTACATTTAAATGTGACCTAACTTTCAAAGCAAAAGTATGTATGAATTTATTTTTCTTGGAAACTTGAAAATGATACAAGATATTTTAAAGGCAACATTTTTACCCTGCTGTGAAATTCTTTTTTCAAATATTCTCCTACTGTTGTTTAACCAGGTAAGGGGTTCTTAGATTCACTACACTGAAGTTCATAGTTCATAGATTGTTTATTTGAGTGACTCAGATATTTAAGGTGTTTTTAAAACCTGGCCAATGTTTTGCTGACTCTCATTCTTTTCTCAGTACAGTGTCATTCACTAAAATAGATCAGTGAATCAAAGTTTTAAATGGCCAAAGAACATTATCTATTTGATAAAGAGAAACTACTGTTAACTGCAGAGGTAATTCTTAAAACTTGCATTTTCAATAAAAGATCTTAACATTTATTTTTAATAAATGTGATGGGGGCCGTTTGTAGACATCTGACTAAGAAGTCAAGCAGGTTGGTAATAAGCGAAGCTGCTGATGCTGTTGGGTTGTTTATTGAGCCTCTGCTGAGATTTTGAGAGAATGTTTGAGTTGATTTAATTCATTGTGTCTCTCAAAAAAATGACATCAATAAAACTTTCATTCTGCACACTTGGGGGTTGTGGGCTGAAAAGTTTGGGAACCCCTGAGCTAAAACTACCATGGACTTGGTGAAATACATGCTCAGCACTGCATAACATTATGCTTGAACAAATGCAAAACTGAACAAAATGTATTACAAATGAACAAGAGCTATAAATGTATAAATGTCCTTTGTAAAAATGTTTCTTGTTTACAGTATAGATATGATATTTCAGAATTCTGACAGCTAAACAACATGAACAAGAACGACAAAACTATTTCTCCAAGATACAGTGATGTCACTGTGTGAGTCAAAATCTGAGTGGATCATGATGCAAAAGCCCAACAATGCTTTCTTTTTCTCCTCAGTTAAGTATTTCCGTAAATGTTTGTTTGATTCTCATCTGTCAGGATGGAGCTGCATATAATTATTCTCTCTCTAGCCATTGTTCTCTCTACTGGTACTGAATGTAAGTTTAAGCTTTTAATTGGATTGACAACGTTTCAATGTAGATGTAAAACTATATTTCTGTGATAAAATGACAAGGTAAGTTGTTATATTTAACACTAAGTTTAGATCATTTAGAATGAGCTTTAATGGTTTTAAATGTTTCATTTAGAGTTATTTATTGCTTAAAGTAATCAGACTATTTGGATTATTATATTTTAATCATCCACAAGTGAAAATTTTTAAAGCCCTTAAAAAAATATAATAACAATTATGTAAAAAAAAAAAAAGGCTTGATCGGCAGAACTAAATAAAATTTCTCTTTTCCTCATTTACTAACTCTTCTCTTAAAACAACAAAACAACTACAACTCTACATTTTATTATACAATTTCTACATTTACTGACGCTATCAAAATGCTCAAAGCATTAATCCAGTCAAAACATTAATAGTTTTATGTCCAGAATGAACACCAGTCTGTTATAACAGACAGACTGACAAAATTTAATTAACATTAATCAATTTAATTAACATTTAATTCAATCACAAAAACTGATTTGCTTGTCAAAAATAAAAATAAAAATTCATATGAATATGTGTGTGGAGATTATTTGCCAAATAATAAAATAAATAAATATAATAAAAATAACTTTTTTTAGTTTTCAGTTATGATTTTTTTTTTTGTGCATTGAAGAGTAAAAGTGCAAAAGATATGATTTATGGAAATTACTAAACCTGGAGATTTTTATTTAGTAATTTTCTTAATTTGCAATAAAAAATTGAAGAGTACACCTGATAAAAACATGATTTATGTAGAACTCAAAACTAGGTTTTTTATGGTTTTCTAAAATATCTGTTTTTGTTGTTTAAGGTACTGTATAGCACAGACACTAGCAGAGATATTGGTGGTATATAGGTGCTATAGCACTTACTGTAAAGTGCTTCCCTGTGATTAAAGCCAAAGAATCATTTTTAGTGCTGCAGTTTTATCCCCATAAATATGTCAGACAATAAGGCCTTTGTCTTTTGGTTTATAAAAACTACAGATAAAAAAGCAACAGAAAAAAGTACACAGCAAAATCATCTGAGTAAAATTTACTCAGTTTAGAGAGTATTTAGTCCATCTTTAAATAAGGGCAAACAGGTTGGTAATAAGTAAAGCTGTTGTTTGTGGAGTTGCTTAATGACCCTATGCTGAGATTTTGAGAGATTCTGTGTATAGTATTTCAGCTGATTTCATCTAAGACTGACTGTAGTCAGTTGTAGTTTTGTGTTTCTCTTCTGTGTTTCTGCTTATTAACATCAGGTTATATTAGTGCTCAGTTATCACTTATTTAATCCTTTTATCGTCTCATTAACTTGAGTAACTTTAACTCAATTTAAAGAGGGACCAAATACTATCTAAGCTGAGTAAATTTTACTCAGAGTATTTAGCTGTGGTTAACAATATAATCTTCAAGACCTGCCACTTTCTCATTGACATCACAAATTTTACTCGATATGCATTGATAGAAACACTAGCATGGCTGATCTACTGCTGCAGTAGGGGGTCTCTGAGCCTCCACTGCATCCAGGAGAGACAATTGATTATGTGTTGGATCATAGACTTACACCCCCCGCAGGCATACTGAAAATATTTCTTAATATTTAGGCATATAGTAATAGTTACCTTGCTTGTTAGGTGTGTGTTAAAGTTAATTACAATTAATAGCAAAATGTATGTTTGAAAACGTAATCATACTTCTGTGGTTATTTAGGTCAAAGTAGCTGAAACATTATACAAAAGAAGAGTAACGCATTCAATTTTTTGAGACATTGAGGGCTCTATTTTAAGGATGCAAAGTCTAAAGTGCAGGGCGCAAAAGCATTAAGGGCATAGCATGCTGCAATTAAAGAAAACACATGCAATTACAAAAAACACCAGCAAATTACGAAAACATCTTCATCTGTTTGACAGCACACGTGCTGCAAATCCTCATAACGCAAACACATTACATATAAAGCACATAAAAACATGCTTAGCAGAGGATCAATAAACACCTCTACAAACAGCATCAGCAGCTTCACTCATAATTATTCTGCTTGACTTTATTATTGTCAGACGTCTACCCAAGTTCTCAGTTCCAATTATTGAGAACTTAAAGGTTTTAATGTTTTATTGAAAATAATCACCCCGGCAGTGAAGAGTAGTTGCTTTACTTTGGGTGTTTCATGTTAACTTCTGTTTGTTTGTTGAAGCGATGTTATGTCAAAAGTGACAAAAGTGATTGTTTCTTTTTCTTTTAAAAGTTTGTTTTACTGGTTTGTCAGTGATTTTAATCTTGTACAATAATGACAACATGGTGTTGATTTCATTGAGCTGTAAGTAGAACTGGTTCTGCATATTGAAAGCCAGCAGTGCATTGGTCAAGTTTTAAAAACACCTTGAGCATCTGAGTAACTAAAAAAAAAAAAACATCAAAAATCATTGTATGCTTCTGATGGTGACACATTTTATGCTGCAGTGCATGCTGGGAGAATAGTACAAAACTTGTCTGTGACTGTATGGAAAGTTTCACCATCATTAATATGCATATGCTGATTCTTGATGTCTGTGTATTTTTAGTACCTCAGATGTTCACTGTGCTTTTAAAACCTGACCAATGCACTGTAGGCTCTAAATGTGTTATCAGTGTAATCGACACCACAGTGTCATTATAGTACAACATAAAAAGTCACTGACTAAATGAGATGAGTCAATCATTAACAAACTGTTTCTAGGTTTTCTTGCAATAGCAACAGTTACCAGACATGGAAAGCAAAACAAAGTACAAATACTTCGTTACTGTACTTAAGTAGACTTTTTCTGGTATAAGTACTTTACTCCACTACTTATTTTTATGCCAACTTTTTACTTTTTCATCAACTCCTTACATTTTTAAACAAATATCTGTACTTTCTACTCCTTAAATCTTTAAATCGGGCTCGTTACTTTTATTTTCATGCGTTTGGTGCCAAAATTTATATATTGTTTTTGCCATTGTGCAATTTGAACGCCTATTTGATTTAGTCAATCTATTCTTTGTCATTATGTGACGTGTGCTGCAGTGCGAGGACTTTTTAACCTCAAGAAGATTTTTCAACCTTGTTTATTTGAGCTTACTATTGGAACGGCTAACGTGGATGAGACAGAGGGAGTCCGCGATGTAAACATGACTGATGTCATGTTTATACCGGGTAATAAAATGCATTTTGGTTAATTGGATTACAGGTAAAACAAGAGACGCATTCCTGTTCAAATCTGACATTTAAATGGGGTTAAAGTCTTTTGTCCAATTCAGACCATGGTGTATTGTACTTTTCTGATCTTTCAATCAAATACTGCAAGAAAAAAAAAATCTTAACGTTTCTACAGTTAGCACTAAAGCAATCAAATAAGTATAAATACGTTTGCATTGAAGTTTCCAATGAGTTCATATTCAGGTTCAGGTAGTATAATAAATACTTTTACTTGAGTAAATATTTCAGGCCGTACTTCTTTACTTTTACTGAATGTAGCGGAGTGGACGAAGCTAAGGTGGGAGACTAAGGGAAGCTAAGGTTGCTTGAGGGTTAGCTTCCTTTGCACCACAACCCAACGACTAATCTCAATTTAATTTTGATACCGACAACACCACCTGGGATTTAAACCCAGGAAAAATATAAGGTCACACAGATTTGTCTCTTTTTACAGTTTAAGGAGCAGACAGGAGACAGGTCGGCGCTTTAGAGCACCAAGCACAAAAACAGCCACACACAAGAAAGTTTCTTTCCTCAGGCCATCTACCTCATGAACAGTTAAATATCCATCAACTGTGCAATAAATATGTGCAATACTTTCTCATACGCACTTGTACACAGCACCTTATATCAATATACAATGCAATACTTTCTTAATTCGCATTTGTACACAGCACCGTATAACCTGCATATTTATAACAAATGTGTGTACAATATTTTATTGCTCTTTTCACCTCTGTCTGTATTATACATGCCAGCTGATCAGTCTACTTTTAAAACAACGTAAAGAGCAGATGTTTAACCAATGCATTTCATGATGCTTTATATATTTCAGTTGAACATGAAGTAAACCAGATTCAAGTATGTTCCAATACAGAACAAGAGTTTTTTATTGGATATGATGGAGAGGAAATATGGCATGCTGACATTGCACATAGGAGAGGAGTCAAGACAACACCCAGTTTTGCACAATATGCAGTAATCCCTGATATTTATGAACGTGCCCTTGCTTTTTTAGATTTTTGCAAATACGATTTGCATGCCTATATCAAATATTTCAACAACCCACCACCAGAAATGGGTAAGACTTTTTAAATATGCTTTTAACACTTTACACTTTTATAAACTCAGGATAACTAAAACATAACATTGATTGTTTTTTTGTTTTTGTTTTTTTTAATCAGGTTTCCACCCTATTATTTTTATGATAAAAAATAATAATTCAGTAACACTGAAGTACATTGTTCTTTGGCTTAGTCCCTTTATCCATCAGGGGCCGCCTCAGCGGAATGGACCTTCAACTTATCCAGCACATTTACACAGCTGATGCCCTTCAAGCTGCAGCTCAGTACTGAGAAAAACCCATACACACTCATCACACACATAAACAACGGCCAATTTAGTTTATTCAATTCACTCATAACACATTCGGACTGTGAAGTAAACCAGAGCATCTGGAAGAAAACCACGTAAACACGGGGAGAACATGCAAACTCCACACAGAAATGCCAAATGACCCAGCCAAGACTCGAACCAGCAATCTTCTTGCTGTGAGGTGACAGTGCTAACCACTGTGTCACTGTAATACTGAAATTTATTATTATTATTTAGATATATAAACTGAACCCAAGTAGTCGACTTTGCTTAAAAATTAAAATAAACATTCCAGTATAAACATAATAATAATGAACAAAAACAACACAACAACAAACTTTTAATCATAAAATACTATCTAAATTATATTTGTGAAACACACAATAAAGAGGAAGCGCAGTGGATAGCGTTGTCAACAAGTTTGCTGGTTCAAGCCTCGGCTGGGTCAGTTGGCATTTATGTGTAGAGTTTGCATGTTCTCCCTATATTGCCGTGGGTTTCCTCTGAGTACTCCGGTTTCCCCCACAAGTCCAAAGACATGAGCTATAGCTGAATTGTGTGAGCTACATTGTCCGTAGTGTATGTGTGTGAATGAGTGTATGGATATTTCCCAGTGATGGGTTGCAGCTGGAAGGGCATCAGCTGCATAAAACATATACTGAATAATTTTTTTAGAGGTTAAAATTGCTTGTTTTGCTGCTTGATGTTGCAAACTGATGTTTTCTTTTTATATTATTCTACTTTGTCTGTACAGTCACGCAAACTTGAGTGTATACAAACGACTTGCTCTATAGAGCAAGTAGTTTGACCGTTTTCTGCCATTTATTATTTCTAGTAATTTCCCTCATATGCAACTGAATCGGAGGTTCTAAAATAAGCGCAAAAACAAGCAAACTTCCCCACTGAAGAATAAAATCAATAAGGAAAGATATAGATTTTTTTATTTGAATTCACTGATTAAAATAAGTTATCCATTTCTAGATGCACCGCAGACGTCCATCTATTCAAAGGGTAATGTACAGCTGGGAATTCAGAACACCCTTGTCTGTCATGTGACTGGCTTCTATCCTCCGTTTGTCAACATCTCATGGACTAAGAATAATGTTATTGTGACAGAGGGTATGAGTTTAAGTCAGTACCATCCAAGGGTAGATGGCACTTTCAACATTTTCTCCACTCTTAAGTACACACCTGCTGAAGGAGACATTTACAGCTGTACAGTGAATCACAGAACTCTTCAGGGCCAACCTCAGACCAGAATATGGGGTGAGTGTGTATTATTTATATTAGTACCCATTAAACACAATCGTGTTCAAATGACGTCATTTAGACTTCTTTTGGACAATTAGATGTTGAAATTATGTCCCCTAAGGGTGCAGATTGAATGTTTTTATAGCATCCTTTTTGGACAGAGCCTTAGATAAAATTAACTAAAACGTTAAAACTCTCAAAATCTCAGAAGAGGATCATTAAACAACTTAACAACATCAGTAGCTTCACTTACTACTAACCTGCTTGACAGTATTACTGTCAGATGTCTTCAAGTGTCCCTCATCACATTTATTAAGAATGAAGTGCTTTAGTTGTTTAATTGACAGTACACATTTTCATTATCACTATTGCAGTGAAGCACGGCTGCTTTACTTGGGGTCACTGTTTTAAGGATAGTTTAACATAACACATTTCTTCAACAAATGAAGTGAAGTTTATTTATTAATTAATTTTGAGAGGATCACATGCTCATGATTGCTTGCGGCTGATCCTGCATTATCCAATTTATGATTCATGAATTTATCAGATGATTCCTAAGCCACTATAAATACCCTAAGTTCCAAATAACAGCCATCGTCATTTTGAAGTATGCTTTCTGCTACAAAACTCTCAAGCTCCAAAAGCTTTAAAGCATTTAACTATTCAACCTATAGACATGGATAAGAACCAACCAATGAAAACTACAACAAAAGCCCCTGCTCTGCCCAAGACTTCAGCTGCGGCTTAGTGCCATCCAGCCTTCAAGATGACAAATGGAGCCTGAGGTCCCGCTAGATGACACCGGTTCTCTGTTGATTTGTCCTACCTTGTCAGATTGTCCTACCTCCCATTTAAAAAAGTTTGGCCATTGGCTCTAAAAGCAGATTCTCATCCAACACCCGTCCCTCCTTATTCAGAAGTTCTGCCTTCATTTACTTTCATTTGTATATAACACTACTGAGAGTATTTAACATTCCTCCGAGAGCACCCATAACTCTCCAATTCCGACCACCTCTGCAACTGCAGAGATGCTCCACTGCACTACACTTACCCATTGCACCACTGCAACAGCAATGGCGCTCTAGCTGAGCCCTTATTCACTTTCATCTGTACATATCACTACTGACAGCATATAAAATTCCTACGGTGGCACTAATAACTCTCCAATTCTGACTACCACTGCACCTCTGCAACAGCAGAGACACTCTGTCGAGCCTTATTCGTCCTCTGCAGCGCTGCCATCTATAACGCTCTGCCTGAGCTCACACACTCTTCCATTTAGCCATTTACTACTGACACACTCCCCAGCACCGCCACAAAAGTTTAAACACCTCAGTGGAAGTGTATTTACCTGTTATTATTGCCTGCTATTATCTTCGTTTTGAAGAATCCCCCCTTTCACCCCTACTCCTCCTTTCTTAGGGGGTTGACAGGGTGAGCCAGTGGTTAGCACTGTTGCCTCATAGCAATGACGTCACTGGTTTTAGACCTTATCAAGCCAGCCGATGTTTCTGTGCAGAGTTTACACATTCTCCCCGTGCTCACGTGGGTTTCCCATGGGTTCCCTGGTTTCCTCCTATTGTCCAAAAACATGCAACTAAGGTTAATTGACTAATCTAAATTGGCACCATAGACATGCTCCTAGTAAGTAGTTATCTCTTAAGAGCAATCACTATCTGTTCATTAGCTACTCCAGCAGGGGAGTGTTGAAATCTACCTGAGCTCAAACTCCCTTCTCGCCTTGGAGGGAGGGAGCCCCAGGCTTGAGGATTTTAGCACAGAGCTCTCTACTGATACAACATGCCAAACAAGCATCAGATAAGTATGAACTCTTGATGAGAGGTTAACATGAAACACCACAAGTAAAGCAACCACTCTTCACTGCCGTGGTGACTTATTTTTTAATAAAACATTCAAAACTTTTAAGTTCTCAATAAATGGGACTGAGAACTTGGGTAGAGATGGAAGGGCATGCGCTGCATAAAACATAAGCAGGACAAGTTGGCAGTTTGCTCCGCTCTGCCGACTCCGGATTAATAAAGGGACTAAGCCTAAAAGAAAATGAATAAACTTGGGTAGACGTTTGACACTAATAAAGTCTAACAGATTAATTATAAGTGAAGCTGCTGATGTTCTTTGTAGAGATCTCTGCTGCGATTTTGAGAGATTTAATGTTTTAGTTGATTTCATCTAAGGCTTTGTCAAAGTCCAAAATGGACATCATAAAAGCGTTCATTCTGCACCCTTAGAGGATGTAATTTCTGCGTCTAATTGTCCAAAAAAACATCTAAAAGATTTCATTTGAACACGATTGTTCTGTAGGACACATCACGAGTCCAGCTGTTTCATTTGTTATAAAACATTCTTATTCTAATTAGCTTCATGCATCTGATATTTATTTATCTTCAAATATCTAAAGCATGACATTGTTTTCCAGATGTTGATGTTGTCCTCCCAAACTTTGGTCCATCAGTGTTCTGTGGAGTGGGTCTGACTATTGGACTCTTGAGTGTCGCTATCGAAACTTTCTTTCTTTTTAAAAGAAAAAAGAGCAACTGACAATGGATCAATCGAAGCAAACTTCAGTAATGATCTTTAACTGTATTTCAACCTAATATTCCACTAAACTTTCATTCTTCAAGTACCATAGTTAATAATATATTTATAAAAATGTGTACACATAAATCTGGAATAAAACTTCACTATCGTTGTATTGACTCATAATTCAAACATTGTTTTAAAAAGTATTTGATGTTTTTTATTTACTAAAAATAATTTGATGCATTTTAAAGCAAAATGCCTTTAAATAGTTCTTAAAGGAACACATTTTACACTGTTAAGGTACAAAGTGTCTTGTCACTTTAGTGCTACCTTCATGAACCAGATTAGATTTTTTTTGATGAAGGTACAATATTGTATCTGCAGGTTTTAAAAACTAAAGGTTCGTTTTGGTTTCCCATGGTACAAATCATGTCGTGAATGCTGCAAACTACAAACCTTCTGTGAGTGTACTATGAGTGCAAAGCGAGACTGAGTATGAAACTAAAGACCTGACGTCACTTTAAAGGGAGTGTTTCATATGGGTTTATTAATCTTTTTTTATTTTTTCAATGAATACAGTCTGTCATAGTTTATTAAAGATACAATCCCCTTGCTGCATGACAGCTGCACCTTCAGCAAACCTCATAATACGTGCAGCACAGTGACTTTCATGAACATTTATGAGCGTCAAAAGTGGTAGATCTGTTCAGTAAAAGATTCGACTGTATGTCACTGCATATTAAACGACCTGAAATAATACAAAATATTATAACTAAAGCAATGTCCACAGTACAGTAAAACTAAATAGTCATATCATTGATGACGTAAGCGTTTTCGGGCTCGAAAGGCAAAAAAATGCAATGTAAGTGCAGGCCAAGGGGGAGAGGGGAGGGGGAACAATCAAGCCTGGGAACAGTTCAAGACAACCGTGCCTAGTATGAGTACACCTAAAGACTTTGTGCGAAATTGGTAGACGTCTGGTTCTGGGATGTCTTTGATTTTTTTGGTACTACAACTAACTTTGAGACACCTGAAAATTCATTATCTGAGTTTCTTTGTTCAGGACAAAAGTGAACTGGTAACAGGTGAACAGCATTCCACACCGTTCCATCGTCCAGAGTAAATGTGCCCTGGACTTGTTGTCCTCTAATGCAGTGGTTCCAAACCTTTTTTTTACTAATACATCCTTTTTTGTCCCAGAATATATTGTGAGGCCATTTTATTTAATGATATAATTGCTCATGCAGAAATAATAGCATAATGTTTCCCAGAGATGGGTTTCAGCTGGAAGGGCATTCGCTGTCTAAAACATGTGCTGGATAAGTTGGCGGTTCATTCCACTGTGGCCACCCTGGATTAATAAAGGGACTAAGCCAAAAAGAAAATGAATGAATGATTGGTGTTGTGCAATAAGAGTTATTGCAATTGTAATAACATTTGCAATTTGATGTCCATCAAAGTAACAGAACCTAGTTTTTAAAGTTTCCTAAAACATGAACAAACCTGATAGAAATGCAACAAGTTTTCAATAACGTTTTGGCCTCTTCATTGTTGATCCAATGCTGTTTTACTTTTTCAATAATTATTACCAACCACAAGATGGCAATCTTAACTTTCTGATAAAGCAAGGTCTTTCTTTCTTTCTTTGTTTCTTTCTTTCTTTCTTTCTTTCTTTCTTTCTTTCTTAAACAAGATGGTAGTTAAGCAAGTTGCCTCAAAGTGATAATGTTTTTACAGAAGGGTGTGATTTGATGAAAACTTTATTAGTGAAATATGTTTTATGCAACATTATGGACCTTATTAAAAGGTTCTGCCTGGCAAAATTGCTTATAAAAACAGTGGAATTACTTTACTTTCAGAATTATAAAAATATAGAAAGCTTGTTGGTATTTGCAAAAAAAAAAAACTGTTTACTCAGTGCTTCAAGGTAATTGCAAAAGAACCTGTTAAAGTAGGTCTCATTCATACTAAACCAGTATGCATTCATACTAAACCAGTTTTGACAATTCTCAGTGCTCCATGACTAACATAAACAAAACAAATCTGCACCAAGCATTTTGGTTTGTGAAACTTCCTCATACAGAAATCACATGGTTGAGTTGATTACTTCTTCAGCGTTATAAACATACCTTTCTTGCAACACCTGTCAAAAAAGTTGGAACAATAAATCATTTATTACTTTGTAAAGTTGCTATTCCTTTTCACAACACTATATACAATAACTTTTGCCTAGTCTATGGTATATGAATTTTTTTCCTATGACTACAGACATATGTTGGAACCACCAAAATAAATTACACCAAATGTATACCTCTGCATGTGGCTTGGGAAGCTTTTAAAATTGAGTAGGCAAAATCTAGACGGAAATCCCAAAATAGCACTACAGTTTAAGATGGGATTTCTTGCAAGCCATGTACTGTTTCTCTCTTGTCTTGTAGATCCGGTTTTGCATGTTTCTGCTGCAATTTCTTACAGAGTGCTGCTAAAAACTTTCCCCATAGCCTACTGGTTGTAATATGTCATTCCTGAGTCACTATCCAAAACTTGACAAGGTTGGTGTTCAAATTTATCTTAGTAACACACATAGATTAACTACAGCATATATTACAAAAAAAAAAAAAAAAAACGCACAAAAAAACATTCATTTAAAATTATTATATTGTTTTAATTAAAACATTGTAAATAGTTTTCCCTGCACCAGAATGATTATAATAAACATAAAGAACATTGGTTTTACAACAATTAAATAATCATGACATCAAAGCAAATCAGTGCAAAGTTCATAATATTATGTTTATAATGCTTAAATTTGTTAGCTAAAACAGCAGCATCCCATTTCCACCCTTGCTAAATGCATGTTAGGGATCACTGAACAAAGTCTTTGCTAATTGAGTTTGGGCCTTCTTGGAGAGAGTGTAGTGTATTGTAAAAATGAATTACCGCACAGTTATTATTTATATAGTACTCAGCAATGAGGTGTTTCTTTGCCGTTTTCTGTCAGGCAAGATATCCACTCATAGTTGTAGCATCACAAAACTGCTTCTGTAAAATCAAAAAAAAGAGAATGATTTTACGTCCATACGCCATGTAAAATTTCAGATTACATGTAAAAAATTACAATATTACAATATATTAATTTTCTGAAGATTACAGCATACTGATGTGGTTACACACCTATGACTTTATGTCTTCTGAAACACACACACAAATCTTCAGAACACAAATAAAAATTTGTGAGCTCTTATTGGAGTAGTGCAAACTGCGTAGCTGTCCTGACTTATTTTGATGGTGGTGACCCCTGATAAATAAGGGACTTAGCCGAAGGAAAATAAATGAATGAATGTTTCCACATGTCAAACATGCCTAGTATGGTTTGAGTTTATGCTTAACATGTAAGACAAGTGTGGCGCTAATTAACGAGAGGCGGCACCAATAAATGTACATAAACCATATTAACCAAGCAACACAAATGTTTATTTCTAGTACACACAGCCAATATCAATTATCACAATAATAATCAATAATCATGACTAATAATTAGGACATAATTATTAAAAATGCAACAAAAATGCATAAAAGGCTTATAACTTCAAATAAAGACAATAAATAATGATTCAATTAATGACAGAAAATAAATAAGTAATAAAACCCCTAGCAACGTGATATAATTATATACAATCTCAGAGATAAGCCATCATTTTCCTATTCAAAGACTGAGGACTTCTTTGCAGTCACATTGGAAAAGTAACGAGTGTTTGAGCTTCCAATGGTTTTGCAAGAAACTCTACAACTATATAGTCAAAATTTGGGTGTTGGCCGAAGATCAGTCTGTAGAGCCTTTTCACAAGACTGTTATGACATGTCTAACGGTCATCAGTATCTTAAATCCTTGAAAGTTTTTAATTTTCTTTTATTCATTTTCTTATTCATAGTCCTATTATTAATCTGGGGTCGCTACATCAGAACGAACCAGAACTTATCTAGCATATGTTTTAGGCAGCGAATGCCCTCCAGCTGTAACCCATCACAGGGAAACATCCATACTCATTCACACACTACAGACAATTTAGCTTACCCAAATCACCTACAGCGCATGTCTTTGGACTGTGGGGAAACGTTGAATACAGGAGAACATGCAAACTCCACACAGAAATGCCAACTGACCCAGCTAGGGCTCGAACCAGTGATGTTCTTGCTGTGAGGCGATTGTGCTTCCCCCTGCGCCACCATGCTGCCCTTTTTAATATTTTTATTTTTTATTTATTTTTAAACCTATGACCATTTCTGTGTATTTATGTATGTCATCTTTACATCAAATTACAAAAAAAACTAATTACCGCTTATGCAAGGTGTTTCTAATGCAGCGTCGATGGGGCAGGATAAGAAATGTGTCATTGTTCGTCTCAATTTTTTCTCCTTTTCCCAGGTTCTTGATAACACCATTGTGGAGTTTTTCTTTTATTATTTCAGGAAATAGGATTGTAAAAAAAATATTTGTTGTACTCTCCAATTCCCTCTAAGTTTACCCAACTATGACAACTTCTGCTACTAAAAAAAATTTTTGAAAAAGGTCCATTAAGAGGGTTTGGTTTGGTTTGGTTTTGTTACAAATTATTAAAAAAGGGGGGACAAAACTGATCTCTGATTTTCCATAAAAAAACAAGAATCACATGATTTTCACTGACCAGAAAGGAAAACTCAGAATTCAGTGACACATTTGGGAAATATACAGTTGAAGTCAGAATTATTAAATCCCCTGAATTATTCGCCCCCATTAATTTTTCCCCAATTTCTGTTTCACTGAGAGCAGATTTTTTTCAACGCATTTCTGAACATAAAGTTTTAATAACTCATCTCTAATAACTGACTTAAATTATCCTTGCCATGATGACAGCAAATAATATTTGACTAGATATTTTTCAAGACACTTCTATACAGCTTAAAGTGACATTTAAAGGCTTAACTGGGTTAATTGGGTTCACTAGGCAGGTTAGGGTAATTAGGCAAGTTATTGTATAACGATGGTTTGTTCTATAGACTATTGAAAAAAAGATATCTTAAAGGAGCTAATAATATTGACCTCAAAATGGTTTTTTTTTAAAAATTATAACTGCTTTTATTCTAGCCGAAATAAAGCAAATAAGACTTTCTCCAGAAGAAAAAAAAATATTATCAGACATACTGTGAAAATGTCCTTGCTCTGTTCGACATCATTTGGAAAATATTCAAAAAAAGAAAAAAAATTATTTAAAAGGGGGGATAATAATTCTGACTTCAATACTCAGAAGCTCAACTAAGTGTGTCACAGATACAGAGCACTCACTGCATTGCACAGAGCTCTTGTTTTGTGGACACCCCAACCCCCATAAACTGACAATGAAGAGAAGAATCTGTAAAGTTATTTTTGTTTTATTTTTGCACAATGATATTCTCTGATGACACATGATCAGCATGATGACACATGATTTGTTTTATGATGTTTTTACTGACTTTCTGGACTGGCTAGAGAAGGAATTCATCTAAAATCTCCTAATCTGTGTTTGGCAGATTAACGACACCTTCATGAAGTTTTTGAATATTCATTTTGGAATATAAACTACCCATTTAAATACCTGCAAATATTTTTAAAATATTTTTGAATTTACATAGTTTAAATAAACTGAAAATATACACATTCAACTCCTAATTTAAAGTATTTACAGTTTTTATGAATACTCTGCATTTTAATACAAGAAGCAATTAAAAAGAAAATAAATATGTTTGTCAAAAAATAGCAGTTTCATACTTTATCTCTTTAATAAGGTAAAAAAAAAAAATAGAAAAAAAAGTTAAATGAATTGAAACTAACCTGCAGTTTTCTTGTAGTAAATAAAACATATAGCTGGGATGATGATTCCCAGAACTACACCAGATGCCCCAATGGCGATTTTATTCCTCTCAGACGCAGGACGAGATGAATCTGTAGGATACAATAGTATGTCAAATTGTCCCACAAACAATGCTAATATGACAGTAAGCATATTCCGCTTACCCCACTCTGTAATGATGGGTTTATTAGAGCTGGCATGTTCAATCCCACATGAGATCCTTTCTCCAGATTTTGGGCTGTACTCCAGCTCAGAGTGAATCTGGTAATACCAGTCTCCATCAGCCATCTCCATAGTTGATGTCACATCAGAGGTTATCACTTCACCATTTCTCAGCCAGTACACTCTGATGTGTGGAGGATAAAATTCATACGCGCTGCACATCAAAACTGCAGGATGTCTTCCACCAGCTGGCTTCACTAAAGTGAGCTTAACCTTTGGTTTCACTAAATCAACAAGAGCAACATTCTAAATTTGCTGCTTTTACAAATGAGGAAATTGTGGCTTTTAACAAATGAAATGGCAGCATTATGATATGTACTCATATACGTATAGATTATATTCTTACAAAAGTTATGTACGTAGGTCATTAAGTGTTGCAATGTATAATTTCTGATCATTGGGTTTAATAACATTAGCAACAACATGGCTGTAATGTGGTATTTTTCTTTCCAAATATTATTTGAAATGTGACACTTTTAAGGAGAAACTATCACGTTTGTGTTGAAAAATTTAGAAAGAAAAAAAAAAATATATATATATATATATATATATATATATATATATATATATATATTTTTTTTTTTTTTTTTTGATATACCTATTCAAGTAGGGAAAAAAAGTGGTTTACCTAGGTAGAGTTTACTTCTGCTTTCCAAATGTCACTTGAGAAATTGCCATTGTTTATTCAATGATCTCTTTAATTCAGGGATATTTTGCATGTTGAAAATCTTTTGGAATCATGTTTTACATAAACATTTAAAGTCAGTATTATTAGCCCCCCTGAATTATTAGCCCCTGTATTCATTTTTTCCCCAATTTCTGTTTAACGGAGAGAAGATTTTTTTCAACATATTTCTAAGCATAATAGTTTTAATAATTCATTTCTAATAAATGATTTCTTTTATCTTGCAGTGGTGACAGTACATAATATTTTACTAAATATTTTTCAAGACATTTCTATATAGCTTAAAGTGACATTTAAAGGCTTAATTAGGTTAATTAGGCTAACTAGGCAGGTTAAGGTATTTAGGCAAGTTATTGTATGAGATGGTTTGTTCTGTAGATTATCGAGAAAAAAAAGTTAGCTTAAAGGGGCTAAGAATTTTGACCCTAAAATGTTTTTTTTTATTTTTTTAAATAAAGTCTGCTTTTATTCCAGCAGATATACAACAAATAAAACTTTCTCCAGAAGAAAAAATATTATCAGGCATACTGTGAAATTTCCTTGCTCTGTTAAACATCATTTGGGAAATATTTAAATAAGAATTAAAATTCAGGGGGGCTAATAATTCAACTCTACATCATATCATGTAATGTATATGAACACAAACCAGTTTGTTGCTTATGCTCCAGTAAAAAAAAAAAAAAAGCAGCAAATAAAAGATGAGAGCTTTGGGTTACATACCTGCTTTATTGCGAATAAATTTGTCATGGTTGATAGCATTATTTTTGCAGACTTTGTTCACCGCAGCTTTTTTTTTAAGCAGTAAATTGGTGTCATTGTTCCTAAATTCTGCATTTCTAATGCCGTACTCACTAAACCCCACATACTTTCCAATATTACTATTAAACTGTGTAAATAGATATTTATTGAAATAAAGGCTCTCAATAAACACCATGTCACTAAGATTTTTAGAGCTGGAGATGCATTGTATCCAAGTGTATCTGTAATATACATTAGCTGAAAAAGAATGTAGAGACAGAACAAACACACATTTGGTTAAATAACACAAAACAAGAACTTCACTTCAGTACATCTCATTGAACTCACCTGTTTCAGCTCCAATTAATACAGACAACGTCAATATGAGATGACCATAGAAAAGCCTAAGCAGTGACATTTTCACTCGCTCTGAATATCTGCTGAATCTTGCCCAAAAATCTTGTTGTTAAGCTGGTTGGTCTAAGGTGAAAACCAAAAGTTAAATTGTAACGTGTTGCTAGGCAGTTTTATTTTAAAACATCTCCCATCTGTCAGCAAAGTGAACAGAGTGCACCCCCTAAAGGTGGAATTATACCCATGGCCATAACTTGGGATTTAGAAAGGTGTGTAGTGGAGTGTTATAACTTCTATGCATTGATACAGTGCGTATGAACATAATGATTGTGGTTAGAATGTGATCAGAATCATTGAACATTTGAAATCACAGCCTGATCACATTCAAAAACAAAATACTAAAAACTCTTAAGAAATTCAAACCTGTGAGATTGTCATTATCAAACCGGTGAATTTAAAAAGTGAAATCAAACAATTTAACAGGGCTCTGTGTTGTCAAGTTCATTGTGCATTACCAATAACAACCAGCAGCAGACCCGCAAACCCACACATGTTTTTGGTACATACAATTCCGACCACATGGTCCAGCCCTCAAAGTAAGAGGGACTTCCACTACTGTGGTGTAAGCGGTGAATGGTTCATTCCAGGTTTACCCCCACACAGTTTTGTGTAATGGTAAGGTCCTGGTATGTGTGTAGTTGAAGATGTAGACTTGGCTGGTATGTGTACAAGTGCGGGAGAGAATAAAAGTTGTTCTATCTGTTGCTATCAGTGCGTGTCTTAATAGAGACAAAAGGGAAAAGCCACAACATGGTGTCAGAGTTGGAGCAACCCGCTTCTTAATGCTGCACTCGCAGTGACGTCAGATCACAGCGTGGTGAGCTTAAAAAAAATAAAATAAAAATAGCCTGACAGCGAGGGCCACAACGAGCTAGCAAGCTAACGCTATCGACAACATGGAGACGCTTCATTCACCTCCGCCGTTATCCATGACGGGGAATTTGGCTGAAAATTGGCGTAAGTGGGAGCAAAGATTTAATCTGTATCTCACTGCCTCAGCATTAGTGGATAAATCGGAGTCAAGACAGATTGCTGTGCTGCTGCATTGCATAGGAGAAGAGGCGCAAGACATATACAACTCATTTGCGATTCAATACGAGGATCCACAAGATAAAAAATTGACAGAGGTCCTCGCGGCATTAAGACAATATTGTGCCCCACGAAAAAATACTGTCTTTGAGCGGCATCAATTCTGGGCCCACACATTCGCTGAGCAAACAGGCATAGACAAATTTGTCACAGAGCTAAAGAATAAAGCCCGCACATGTGAATTTGGCGATACTGAAGATCTCATGATACGAGACAAAATAGTATTCAGCACAACTGACTCTGGGCTTCGTGACCGACTGTTGTCCATACCTGATTTGACGCTTGTGAAAGCTATTGATATATGCAGAGCTAAAGAAGTCACAAAAGCACAGGTCACAGCGATGGCAGCATCATCATCAGAAACACAATTTGTGCATGTCATAAAAAAAGCACAGCAACCTGCACACAGATCAACAAAACTCACAATGCACAACTCTCTAAACTACTCTCAAAATGGAAAGGAGCTAATACCAACAGATGTGGCAAATGTGATCGTGTTCACCCTCCAAGACAGTGCCCAGCCTTTAATGAAACATGTAAAAAGTGTGGCAAAAAGAATCATTTTGCTATCGTGTGCAAATCAAAAGTCAAAATAGACTTGCTTAACCAGCCAGAAATAGACACTTTGTTTATTGGTACAGTAGCCCAGTCAAACTGTGACGAAACCGGCTGGCATGCTAATTTGCATATGGCGGGCACAATAATCAACTTCAAATTGGACACGGGGGCAGAAGCAAATGTCATTCCAAAGAAAATCATTGACCGGCTTCAGATGCCTGTAAACATTCAAAAGACAAAAACGGTGCTTGTATCATATGGAGGCACTCGTATCAAACCAGAAGGTGTTGTCAAATTACATGTACAGAACAGAAACAAAACAGCCAACATGATACTCTTTGACCACCCACCACAAAAACTGAGCTCCTAACCCGATATGCTTCAGTGTTTGAAGGATTAGGCCAATTTCCAGGATTACATCTCATTTATACTGACCCTAACATACCACCAGTAATACATGGTTGCAGGAAAATTCCATTTGCAGTACATGATCGACTCCAAGTGACATTGGAAGAACTTGAAAAAAAAGGTGTGATAAGCAAAGTCACTAAGCCTACTGCATGGGTGAGCAGTTTATGCATCACAGAAAAGAAAAACGGCACGCTGAGAGTCTGCTTAGACCCTAGAGATTTAAACCGGGCCATACTTCGTCAGCATTACTGCATACCTACATTGGAAGACATAAGGACTCAGCTTGCCGGAAAAACTCTGTTCACCATACTGGACGAGAAGGATGGCTATTGGCAGATCAAACTAGATGAGGAGTCAGCAGACCTGTGCACATTTAACACACCATGGGGCAGGTATCGCTTTCATCGGATGCCATTTGGGATAAAATCAGCAAGTGAAGTCTTTCAACGCCTGAATTCAGAAAGTTTTGGGGACATTGAAGGTGTTTTCATGGTGGCTGATGACATGATCATAGCCACATCCACCAAAGCAGAGCATGATGTTGTTCTAGATAAGGTTCTGAGCAGAGCAGAGAGTCTCAATATAAAATTCAACAAAGACAAGCTGCAGTACATGGTCAATGAGGTGACTTACCTAGGCCATGTCATTACATCAAATGGAGTGAAACCTGATGAGTCAAAGGTGGCAGCCATAGTTCAGTTTCCCAATCCGACTGACAGAAAGGCTATGGCTCGATTTGCCCACGAATGGGGTTTTAACATTACACATTCTAGCCCAAACTACCCTCAATCCAATGGGATGGCTGAGCGAGCCATAAAGACTGTCCAAACTATGCTGAAAGCTGTTGCACAGTCTGGCACTGACCCTCATTTAGCCCTTTTAACCCTTCGCAACACTCCAGTTACTGGTCTCAAGTACTCTCCAGCCCAGATTCTGATGGGCAGAGCTCTCCGTTGCAGATTACCCATGAGCAAAGCTGTCCTCCAGCCGGCTACACCAACCCATATTCAGGCAGATCTGCAGCGTTGACAGTTGCGACAGAAAAGATGGTATGACAGGAGAGCAACTCAGCTTCCAACACTCAGGAGGGGACAGAGAGTATATATGAGAATCAAAAACACATGGAAACCAGCTACAGTTGTCAGCGTCAGAGATGAGCCTCGTTCATATGATGTAATCACATCAGAGGGCACTACTTACCGTAGAAACAGACGCCACCTCAGACCGGACAGGTCACCTGCGCATGATACACAACTGGATTGTCACATGGATGCTAATGAAGACCAACTAGACAATGTGACTCCTGAGCCTACTCAGTCTGATCCATCACACAATGTGGAAATAAACACTGTCCCACCTGCTATATGCACAAGAGCTGGACGTGTTATCAGGCCACCTGGATGGCTGAAAGACTATCTGTCTTTTTAAGTACTTGTGACTAGTGCTCACAGTATCTGCAAATGTTTGTTATTGTTATGACCACTGTTCTTATTCAAATTTGATTACCATATTGCTTAAACCTAAGAAGGGGGATGTGGTGTAAGCGGTGAATGGTTCAGTCCAGGTTTACCCCCACACAGTTTTGTGTAATGGTACGGTCCTGGTATGTGTGTAGTTGAAGATGTAGACTTGGCTGGTATGTGTACAAGTGCGGGAGAGAATAAAAGTTGTTCTATCTGTTGCTATCAGTGCGTGTCTTAATAGAGACAAAAGGGAAAAGCCACAACAACTGCCAGAAGATTATTTATGACATGTCGTGTATAAGCTGTTTCTATTTAAACATGTTTCCATTTTTGTTTCTTATTCTGCATTTAGTTTTTGCTTTTGCCAGCAAAATCAGCTATATCCCGAGAATTAGTCAGAAGGCGTGAATTGAATCCTATGTTTTAAATGTATCGGAGCGATGTTACTCTGGCTTTAATGAGGAGATTCCACTTGCGATTTTAAAAGATGGAGTTTGATGAACTGCATGAGCTTGTCCAACTGTCACTGAATGGCAAATGAAACGTCTCTTACCTTAAAAGTCGGAGGTGTAGCATGAAATCATAATGTTTTTTTGCACACTACTTTGAATGAGTCTGATTCACTATACATCGAGCGGCTACAGCATTTTATTATTGTCCAAGAGGCTTCCCCTTTTTGTCCAGTAGGCCTACTTTGTGTTTTATTTGCTAATTTAAGCTATTTTTAAAAGATAAATATATTTAAATTACTTCATAATGCCTATACATATAAGCTTTTTTACATTAATGGACAATGCACAGATATTGATGTTTCACAATGTTTTTTCACTCGATTATTTGAATCTACCAAGCTTAGTTTACAATGGTTGCAATGTTTACATTGCTCTACTTACATTAAATCTAAATCCCAAACATCAAAAATGCCGACAGATTGTTAAAAGGACATGAAACCCCATTGTTTCAGCAGGGTGTTTTCACACCTCTACTTTCGAAAAAGTCAGGAAAGTGGGCGTATCCAACTCTGTTTAGGTGGGAGTGTCGATTTGGGTAGGTGCTGATATTCAGAGTCAAAACACACACACACACACACACAGCAGGTAGTATCAGAAAACCGTGTGTGTTATTCCGGTCACAAAATGCGGTGAAAATCCTACATGACGGTAATAGTTTGGTTGTGGTGCTAACATGTTTACACTTTGTGTAATAGTTAGTTCAACGCAAACTAACTTGCCATTTGAATAAACGAAGACCTCTGGTTGCTCACTTACCGCATCTTTATTAAGAGGAGACGAGCAGAAAATCCAGATCTCACAATTTGCAAAAGCTCTCGGGTAAACAATGTTCCTTAGGCACGTATTTCTGTCGCACGTCGCGTGCACTGTAATCCACACGTGAGTCCAGCTGCGCTCTCATAGAGAGAAAATGAAAACAAACCTTCACTGTAGCAAATTATAGAGGATTATATTCAAAATTAGATTTAGAGAAACCCAGATAACTCAACAGCAACTTACAACTATAAAGGAAATAACACCTCCCCCCCCACCCTACCACTTTTTTTTAAAAGAAAATAAATGCATGTTTTTTTAAAGAGCCCATATTATACATGAACTAGGGTCATATCTTGGTTGTAAGGGTCTCCAACAACAGTCTAATATGCATGCAAGGTCAAAAAACACTTTCATGGTCTTATAATCTGCATTTACTTTTACCTAATTATCCCAGCGACTCCCGTATGAATCCTCCAGTGATTCATTTGTTCCCAAATCCCTCCTTAGCGCGAAGCTAATCTGCGCTGATTGGACCGATGACAGTCTGTTGCGATTGGTCGACTGCCTTCAGTCAGAGAGTAAAATGCCCAACAGCTAATCAGCAATATAAAAGTAATCACAGTTCATACACGCTCGATAGTGTAGGCGTGGATTTTAGCTGCCAGTGGATCAATGTAAATACAGTCGATGGACTTGAAAATTCAGACGATTAACTATTTTATTGAGCAAAAACTCCAAAAACTGTCGAGAAGATATCCAAGCTTGTCTCACTCTGCTCTTTTCACAGACACAAACACACACACACACATTGCCATCGTCCGCGCACTCAAACACAAAAACACACACAGACCTCCGGGCGACAACGTGATGTATTCTTTGTAGCATGTAGTTTCCAGAAGTTTCCAGTAGTTTCCATCTGCTTGGTTATAATCCTAAGGTTTCATCTTTGGGTAGAGGCTCGATAATATCCATCTGCAGTGTGACTTCAATCGACCGGCATGTTTGTGTGCGTGTGTTTGTGGGTGTGTGTGTGTCTGTGTGTCTGCGTTACTGCGTCAGAGGCCGGGGCCTCAGGTTTGAAATCTCCCGGGTTTGCGCGTGCACGTGAATAACTTGGTTTCGTTCATACGTCACGGCGAAACACCTAATGACTCGTTATCAAGGCGACTCATTTGAAGCACTATGAGTCGACTCTTTTATAGATGAATCAACCATTTTAAACACTGTACTCTTACAGATTTAAGCCTTAGCTGGATACTTCACTTCACTTAGAGCTGTGTTACACACTACATGGAGGGGAATTTTCAAAAACCCATAATATGGGCTCATTAAATTCACTTCCACACAAGGTTCTGTTTCATTTAAAGTTTATATTTGTTCACCAAAATAAAAATAAGATAGTATCAGAAAACATATTCACAAGCCCTTATCTCACAGCAATATAAACACAAGACAAACAAGCATTAATTATTTGAAGAATCAAGTTTGCACTTTTACAGCAGTTCAATTTTCAAACTAAAGCGAAAAAAGAACAAACAAAACCCAACAAACAAAACATGAATGAGGAAAATAAATGTGTGTGCACTGAAGCTCAATGTATGTGTGTTGGGGAAAAATCAGCCACATGAAGCATGCAGCATTTGGGCAGCCACACAGTTAACAAGCCCATGGAAGCAACGTGACACTTTAACCAGGCTTTAAGTAGGTGAAAATTAAAAAGGTCCTGCATCCATTGAACTAGTGGGGAATAACTTTGCAGCTGGCAACAATGCAGACTAAACCAATCTGCTCTGTTGTTTTGACAGCCGCATTTACTCTTGGCCAAACTTTCCTTCAAGAATTTTACAACAGTAGACAAACTACTCAGGAGTCACGTTACAACCTGTAACACTGTACAGCTACTCTTTTTGTGTTCACACAAGGTCTGTGTAAGCTCATAGCCTCAACACACTGGGCCAAACTTGCCTTTAAAAACTTGTCTGGACACTGGAACTACCAGATATATAAAACCACTAGAAATGCCATAGTGGTCATTCTGACTGTTCTCATATAAGATGCCAAATTGTCACATCATATTTATATTCAAAACTTTTATTGAGATTTTAAAATAAGCTTTGAATGTCTGTTATCATATTTAATGAAGTCATTACCCCCAAATATGATATTTTTGGTAAAACAGCCTATATACTTGCAGTTACTCTACGGGACTGTAACAGACACTGATATGCATGCAGTCACTTTGACCACTGGTAGAACTTCAGATACAGTATGTGTATTTGTACTTTATGTGTGTATACCTTATATTACCTAATTAATTCCAACACAGTTTCTGTTTTATTTGACATGCTTTTGTGCACACTACTCTTTTTCATTTCTTGGCATTTCATAGGACCTACGAGGAAACTGTGAACAAAACTGACTTATCCCTAGTTAGAATGCCATTTAGGAACACGGAATGCTTTTACAGATCTTATATTGTAAATTAATTTTAAATGATTGCAGTTAAAATTCAACTGCAGTTCAACACAATTTTCCAGGTTCATTAGTGAAGTCAATATAAAAAATAAATAAAATACAAACAAATAAGTAGCCATTCTTGTATGTATTTATTTTTTTTTTTAAATACTGATGCTTCACAATTTAAATCCACTCAGAAACCAACAAAAAAGAGATTTTTTAGACTTCCAATGTAGATATTTGATAATAAATAGTAAAGTTAATCGCACTTCGTTTTTGAAGGCACAGTAAAATTGTTGTTGAAATTTAACCAAAATGCATGCATTCAATTACCATTAAAATCAATGTTACTTTCAATATTACAATGCATTTGAAGTTCTCTGTTGAGTTTCTTCAAGTTAGCTCTCTTCAGTTGCAGTTTCCTTTAACAAGCAAGAAAGTTCCGGCAGCAATTCCCAGCAGTCCAAAAACCACACCCACTCCACAGACAACTGCTGGAAAAGCACTTGGGAGGGCAACGTCAACATCTGAAAAAGATGAGTATACAAAACAAAATTACCATTTTATATTAAAATTCAATCAAAAAAAAAAAAAAAAACAGCAACATCAACTTCACTTTCTTTATAATTGTTTGACGTTGTTTCCATCAAATGACTACAAAAGTTATTACTGGGACTGTCTGAGGCATAAACCCTGTTAAGAGTCTTATATTTTTCATTATATTATATTTTATGTCTTTCAGAAGGGACGTGGGTATCACTAAAAAATGAACAAAACACAAACGATATCCAGGTTACAATTTGGGACACTGAACAACATTGAATTAACCAGTCTTTGAAAACTATCAGATAAAAAAAGTCATAATTGAATGTTGAATAAAATGATCTGTTGCTAGTCAGAAATATCAGAGCCTATGGCAATTAATAGTATTTGCCTCAACCTTTAAAATGTTCACTTTTAGATCATTAAGTGGACCTGGTACAGTGTGTGCAAAAATATGCTCAGTAGGACTGAACCCGAGAGACTTTTGGACTGTTTATTGCAATATAAATAGCACCAATGGGATGCCTTTATTCCAGTCTCTACAGGTATCCATGCAATATTTCTTCTACATAAACTTAAGCATCTGCTGGAAACATTTGCAAACACCCTGACTTTGTGGGAGAAATAAACTTGAGACTCAATGTGTTGGTACCTGGAAGTGAAGTTAGAACCAGAAAAAAAATATTTTGTACATAAAGTTTGACCTTTGGTAAATCAAACGTGGAGAAAATTTTGATTAATAATTTCATAATGACTAGCGATGAATCGATACCACTTTTTTTACAAACTGATACAAGTAGGAGTAGTTTTACAGAGAACAGATTCTGATACTACCTTGATTTTGCTCACAATTTTTTTTGCCTGTAGCATGGATGAACACAAAAACTCTTCAACATAAGGCTATTCCAAGCCAAAAATATACACACATTGTTGATAACCCTGTAAATCGCTAGACCTGAGCAGAACATTTTTGCCAGTGTTCAATTATCTATTACCTCTCATTTACAGTACATCTACACTGGAATTGTGTGCACCACATTATGGCTTCAAAAAGGTTGTGTCCTGTCCTGCACATACTGCCAAACTACAGAAGCGAAGCAAAGTGACATGACATTACTAAACTGGATTTCACATTTTCCTGATTTTTGAGTACCATTTTGTACCATAGTGAAGTGGGTTAAATATTTACTAACTCGTCCAAACGAATTGTCTTTCATGTTGTGTGTATTGTCATTTTCTCAACTAACTTGAAATCTATCTTAATTTGGACTTGATTTTGTATATAAAAAATAGACAAGATGCCTATGTTGCCATAGATGTCACAATGTCACTCTCCATTAAAAGATCAATCAGAGACTTATTAGCTCATATCAATGAATCAAATCTTAGGATTACAATCACTTGATTCAAATCTATTGAGTCCGACTGAATCAGATTAACAGCAATATAAGACATTGTATTTTACCTATCTTGTTTATATTAATTTCATAGCCAACAATAATAACATAACACAGTATTGGGTTAAATTTGAGCAACGTAACAAAATATACAGCTCGAAGCAATGACTTAGAAGCACATAAACACCAACACAGTTCGTACAAAATGAAACTAGCTATGTAATAAACAAACAACAAACACACAGACACACACACACATTTACACATATACAGTGGATGCAAAATGAGTTGACAACCGTCCCAAATTAGAATCACATCTGAGAATCCACAAAAGCAGAGACTTGGCTTATCTTTAACTGCTTAAGATCAATCTGCACCAGATCAGCAAGAGGCAACGTTTGTTCGTGGTAAAACTCAAGTTTTGAGTTTTCCTTACCCGGCTGGCCTCAGAGAAATGCAGCACTGCTGATTGGTGACTCGGCTTCAGTGACATCCTTGGGATTTACTCGCTTGTGAGTGGAGGTTGTCCTGGGTTATCTCTGCTGAGAGGCTGTTTGCAGAAGATTTTCTTGCGATTTTGACTGTCCCAAAATTTTAATAGGTTGAATGGAACGTTTGTGGTGATCTAATCTTGTGGCACATTAATTAACTTGGTTGGTTACAATGTGTTTTTTTTAACCCTCATAGCAGATGAAACCCTCTGTATATGTCTATTTCATTCATATGCATCATTGAGGATGTCCCACATGACAAGAACATGACACAGGAGTCATGTTAGAGTCTTGTGAGGCAATTAGTTTAGTTTCCTGTTGAAAGCCTTGTAAAGCACCATTGTTAGGTGATTAAATCCTTTACCAAATTTAGTAAAGGCTCCCCAGAACATCTGTGGACAAAGTATTGGTCAAAATAGTCAAATCAATTGGCTCTCTGTTATCTGTGATGAAGCCCTCGAGCCAGTTCTAAATGAATGAGACCAAACAATGTGGCGCTTGACCGAAATTCAGATTCAGACTGATTTTGATCCTGCAATATGCCAATGAGTTCCTTCAATGTAGAAAGTGTCATGGCTGGTGTAAACAGAGAGGCTGTGATCAGCTCTGCTGAACTTCAAAATGAAGTTGGATTGCAGCTTTAGAGGGCTCTAAAATATCTCAGATGAGGAAGAAAAGTCTTTTTTGTCTGTATCTTCAGAGGTATCATACACTTCTCCCATTTTTGGACAGATATGTGTCACTTTGCTTACAGATGATCGGTTGATTCTCAGTGTGCAATCTCTTATGCAGAACATAATCTGCCCCAGATCAGGTTAGTTGTGTAGCATTATTAAAGCTGAGCTGTAGCTTAGAATAAAGTTAAGTTACCTTTTTGGCACCTAAAACTCATTGATGCAAGCTAACTTGAAAAATGAAAGAGACCCCAGGTATGTTGAGGATGTCTAAAATTAAAAAGTGTACATCCAAAACCCAGTTAACATAGCTAAGAGAATTTTTTTTTACTCTACATTATCAATTTTATTTGAAAAATCACACTCACCCCATGTTTTGGTCTGAGCTTGACCCTGAAGTGCTTCATGATTCACTGTGCAGCTGTAAATGTCTCCTTCAGCTGGTGTGAACTTAAGAGTGGAGAAGATGTTGAAGCTGCCATCTGCCCTTGGACGGTACTGGCTTAAATTAATACTCTCTGTCACGTTATTATTATTCTTTTTCCATGAGATTGTAATAGATGGAGGATAGAAGCCAGTCGCATGACAGATAAGGGAGTTCTGAACACCCAGCTCTACATCATCCTTTGGATAAACAGATGAATGTGGTGCATCTAGAGAAAAAAAAACAGATAACAGTCTGTATTTATTATCTTCAATTAAAATTAAATTCTTACCAATTAACTTAAAACAAATAATTTATTTGTGAGGCAAAATTCTGGTTGTCTTTACACTGGTGTGTATTTTTTTAACACAGCATTTAAAAAATAGAAAAGATCCTCATCTATACTGGCATTTCTTACTTTATAAATTGTCATGAAAAAATAAATGTGTTATTGCTGCTTTAGTGTACCCTGATCACAACAACGATGGGGGCTGAGTAAAGAACCGTTTTATGAACATCTGTAAGCGTTGTTTTCTAATTGCTGCAGACAGACACCTCTTCTTGTATAGTGCTAGTTTCTAAAATGTTGGATGTTTCCTGTCTCACCTCCATAGACATAAGATACGGAACAATTACATGTCAAAGAAGGCAGAGTTTCAGAACACACCCACGGATAGTGCAATGGTTATGGACCAATAGTAGCTCAGAGGTGTTTTGGAGCCAAAATGAACTCCCCCAAAAGTTTGCTATGGTTAGCTGTTTCAAACGGTCAAAATAATCTCCGGATTTTAATCCATTCTTCAATTTGGTTTGAAGTACAGTACACCAGGGCATCAAACTAGTACAGACAGTACAATATAATATTTAAACAGAAGTGTAACTTTCTCTATAATTGTTTGCTTGATTGCAAGCTATGTTGTTAAGTTAGTGATGGTATGATATTTAGCCTATATTTTGACTTTATAGAAAAGAATGCAGGTTATATAACCTATTTAAATTATTTTGGTTTGCATATTTCACAGAGTAATTTTCAGCTCATGGTCTGCTAACAAGCAACATAACAGAGAGATGTCATATCCACAGGTACACAGGTATTTTTATAAATGGTCTTTTCCCCACTTCTTTTTTTCATTTGCTGCAAATGTGTGGAACTTTGCTTAATTTGCATCTCCCACATTTGGCGTGAACCCAGTTGTGTTGGGCAAACAGAAAGGAGAAAACCGCACGCACAATGTCATGAGGTGAAAACTTCGGTTATAATGTCATCACGGCCACCATGTATTTTGGAAAATCCTCACCCTGGCTGGAGTTTTCAGAAAGTTTTGGTTTTAGTCACCTGACACTGCATTTTCATGTGGACAAACAGCAAAACCACATAGAAAAAAGTGCTGTTTTGAAAATACCCATGTTCTTGTGGACAGGGCCAGAGGCTATTATAACCCTGAGTCTTCCACTTATTTTCTGGAATTTTTTGTGAGGATCATGTTAATCTGATGATGAGTTAGCGTTACTTTATAAGTGCTACTGTTTCGGTTGGGTAGTGAGACACCTTTTGTGGATTTATCCCTGGTTGCTGTGCCTCCTAATCAGTATTTACAAACCTTATTCGTTTCCTATTTGTATGTTCTTCTTTAATCTTGAAGAAAATTAGGTTTATTTTGACCAATTAATTAATTATTAGTTAGGTCGTTTTGTCTACACAGAAATGCTCTAAAATGTTCATTTTAACATCTCACTGGGCAGTAAATTTTAAGTGCTTTTACCTAAAAAAGTTATGTTAGTATAAGATTCAATCATGCATTGTTGTTGTTGTTGTGTAAAACATGATTCCTGGAAATGCCTTTATATATTTTATCAAAATACTTTAGTGTCTTGTATTTGTAGTTTCAAAATATTATAAAATACTTTGCAAGAAATCTGCAGTTAATGATTACATATAAAAAATGTGGTGATTTGTGCTTTCTCAGTTATTTTCCTTGGCTTAGAAACAGAACAGACAATTTATTTCTTTTTAAGTAGGTGGTCAATGCATGGAGGATGGATGGAGATTACTCAAAGAAAGTAACATATGCAAGTATGAAAGTAAGTATGGTGAGGGTATATTCGAGAGAGAGTCAACAATCATTGATTAGTATAGTTTACTGTACTGTAGAAAATACTACACTGTTTAAAATAACCCGTTAAATTTAAAAAAAAAATAAATAAATACCAGCAGCTGTGACTGCCAGGATTTGTCTGTACAAAAATGGGTAGAAACATCTTGGATGCTGTTTTTGTACCAAAGTATTATTACAATCACCTTTTGACATAGCTTTTGGCATAGTTTCAAATCACATCATTTAACCAATTTACCTGATTACGAGCCCTAAACTGCTAATGTCCCAACTTTTTTGGAATGTGTTGCCTGTCTAAATGACATGAAAGGATGTGTATTTATATGAAATAAAGTTGACCAGACAAAACATGACATATTGTCTCCAATTAAATATAAGTCAAAGCAAACTTGAAATCACTACTTTCTTTTTTATTTGGGTTTTCCATACTCCCAACCTTTTCTAATTTGGGGTTGTATTAGCTTGCTTTACAGAGTATACTATGTACTAAATTAATAAAATTACTCTAAGTTAATCTAAGATTAATCTAAGATTAGTCCTTTTAATGTCATATCACATAGCTTATGTACTCTTAACACATTTCTTAAATATGATTTTATTTAGTAGCAACCCCCTTTATAGACCCTTAATAATTAAAATAATTCATATGCAGCATTGATATTCATTCAGAAACAAAAATCCAAAGCACATTATCACGGCTTACCCATTGCTGGTGGTGGGCTCTTGAAACCTCTAATGTTGTTCGCTAAGTTCCTTCTGCATCCTGCTATTGAATCAACACTTATTTCATAAAACCCAGGAAATCCAATACGATCTGCAAAATCAGGTAATGTTATTATTCCAGTCTTCTGCTTAAAGTCAGCATGCCACAACTCCTCTCCATCAGCTCCAACCATAGCTTCACTTTCTGAGTCAGAGCACACATAAATTTCTAATTCTTCTCGTACAACTGAAATAAAAAAAACAACACAACTCTTAACAATGCAAACTACATGATTTGTCTTCAGAAAACACTTGTTTTCCTGTTACAATTGTTTTCCAATTAATACAGTTTGGATAAGCCCTAAAGATGCATGACTGTGCATGTCCAGAGTTAAGCTGGGTGTGGATAAGTGATGGTTTGGGCTGCAATATCATGGCATTCCCTAGGCCCAATACTTGCGCTAGATGGGCGTGTCACTACCAAGGACTACCGGATCATAATTCTGGAGGACCATATGCACCCAATGGTTCAAATGTTGTTTTGTGAAGGCGGTGCCATGTATCAGGATAATAATGCATCAATACACACAGCAAGACTGGTGATAGAGTGGTTTGATAAACATGAAAATAAAGTCGAACATTTCCCATGGAAAAATGGCTCAAAATCCCTTTGGCCACCGTGCAGAACCTGTATCTGTCATTGCCAAGACAAAATGATACTGTATTGGCTGCAAAAGGAGGCCCTACACAATACTAATGAATTATTGTGGTCTAAAAACAGGTGTTTTAGTTTCATTGTCCAACGCCTGTATGTATATATAGTTGATAGATTTATTAGCCCTCCTGATTATTATTCTTCCTGTTTACACTGTAAACCTTAATGTTGTTTTTACTTAAACAATCAAGTAAAGTTGACTGAACATTAATTAAAATTTAGCATTTTATATCGATTTTTATAGCAGTTAATTTAACTGATACACAATGAAACTGCATAAACTTAAGATTTCATGTATAGTAAGCCCAAAATCACAATTAATCCTTTGAGAAAAATAGTCGTTTTTTAATGTAGTCTTGGCTGTAAAATTCTAATATGTCCAACTTTAAGGTCTTTTTTTTTATCAGAAAACAAGACTTTATATATAATTATTTACCATAATGGGAATAAATGGCTACTTATTTTTCTTTTAAACATTTTTTCTTAGTTTATAATTACACACGCACACACACACACACACACACACACACACACACACACACTGAACTTAACAATTTAAGTATAATCTACCAAACAGGCAAGTTAAATAAACTTAAATATGCACGTTTTGGGAGACTCCATTACTTAATTAAATGTAGGCAACGAGTTTGCTCAATTAATTCCGTTCAGTTAACTTATTAGGGTTTTCAGTGTATCCGTTCCCCCCAAATTTCTGTTTAATGGAAATGAGATTTTTTAAACATATTTCTAAGCATAATAGTTTTAATAACTCATTTCTAATAACTGATTTCTTTTATTTCTGTCATGATGACAGTACATAATATTTAATAGATATTTTTCAAAATAACAGTATTCAGCTTAAAGTGTAATTGTTTAATATTTAAAGTGTAATATTTTACTAGGTTAATTAAGTTAACTAGGTGATTAATGTAATTAGGCAGGTTCTGTGGCTCGTTCTGTAGACTTGTCCTGTAGACTATCAAATTACATATTGCCAATAATAAAGAGGGCTAATAATATTGACCTTAAAATTATTTTTTTTTTTGTAAATGGATGGAACAACATGAAAACAACATTAATGTTATACCAGAAGTGCTGAATAGCTAATTCCCTGTCACAATACTTTCTGAAAGACTGGCCTGTCAGGTGAACTTATCCAAAATTAAATTATGCTGTTTAATATAAGGCAACGTTTATTATGAGGGACTATCATTAATAAAACTTAGCATTTCTTTTTCTAAGGATCTGGGTCTACAAATCTGCACATGAATCTCAACAGCACTGTCACCTCACAACAAAAGAAGGTCACCGGTTCGAGTCCCAGCTGGACCAGTTGACATTTCTCAGTGGAGTTTGCTTGTTCTCCCCGTGCGCCGGTTTCAAAGTCCAAAGACATGCGGTGAATTGAATAAACTAAATTGACCATAGTGTGTGTAAATAAGAGTGTATGGGTTACGGCTGGAAGCCCATCGTAAAACATATGCAGGATAAGTTGGCGGTTCATTATGCTATGGCAACCCCTGATTAATGAAGGGACTAAGCCAAAAAGCATATGAATGAATGAAATTGATCATAGTGTAAGTGTGTGAATGAGTGTATGAATGTTTTCCAGAACTGGGTTGCAATTGGAAGGGCATTCGCTGTGTAAAACATATGCTGAATAAGTTGGTGATTCATCCCACTGTTGCAACCCCTGATGAATAAATTGACTAAGACAAAGGAAAGTAAAAGAAATGAACTTCTATACTGAGCTGCTTTGACACAGTCTACATTGTAAAAGAAATAGATTGAATTGTTATAGAAATAAAGAAGAATTAAGTTGAATTGAACTTTGTCTGTGTGTTTTAGGTGTTTACGTGTTTTAGTGATTTAGATGTTCAAAGTTTAAATGTTTTAAAGTCTAATTAAAGCATGTTTGTAAACCTTGGAGCCACTATAAAACATTTTTATAAGCAAAACCCCACCATCTTCATAATCTAAGACTCATTTCACCTCTAGGATCAGTGAATCAAACTATGATATGATGTTTTAATCTGATTATATTAATCATTAATTCTACTGCCATAACACACCACTGCAGTGTCGGAAGATAAATGAACATGAAAATGTAAATAGGTTAATCACCCAATGTGTGCCATTCTGTATTTTTTCTGATCATGTAAAATTTTGTAACTTCAATATAGTTGTAGTTTTGTCCATATTTTTTTAAAATTGTTTTTTGACAAAAATGATTAAAATGCATAAAACAGACAATCTTAGACAATGATCTTATGTTTTCAAACATAGTGTGAAAAAAAGAATTACCCACAAGAAACATCCAAAAGTAACAACATGAGAGAAACTGTGCTACAAATGAAATGAGTTTCAAGTTTTTTTTTTTTCATTTGACTTTTTCTGAAAATGGTGAAAATAACTAAATATATATATAAATGAACTTACATTCTGCATTAGATGACAGAAAAGCGATAAAAGTAAGAACTATTACATACAGCTCCATCAGATGCAGCTAAACACAAATCAGTTTGACCAAGGTGAAGAAGGCAGGTGTTATTTCCTCTGTTTTGGCTTTTGCATCATCCAATCAGAGTCTGCCCAGCACAGTGACATCACTGTATCTAGGAGGAAAAAGAATGTTCCCTTTTCAGCTTTTAAAAAGTATAAGAGAACTGCTAACTTGCACTAACAGATTTAAAACACAGTTTTAAAAGTATTGGGTGCAGGGGAAAATAAAATAAATAAACACACACATTTGATAAAAACCCAACTAACTTCAATATTCAAGATCATTAAAAAGTTTTATGTTCTTTCTTAAAGCTTTTACTTTCACATTGGCAGCTTTGAAAGACTGAAAGGGGAAATTCAAATATTTTTTATTTAGGTTTTCATGATGCTTTCAGGCGTCACAGTGGCGCAGTGGGTAGCACAGTCGCCGCACATCAAGAATTTTGCTGGTTTGAGCCCCGGCTGGGTCTGTTGGCATTTCTGTGTGGAGTTTGTATGTTTTCCCCGTGTTTGCGTGGGTTTCATCCGAGTCCTCTGGTTTCTGCCAAAGTCTAAAGACATACACTATAGGTGAATTGAATAAGCTTAATTGGATGCAGTGTATGTGTGTGAATACAAGAGTATATGGTTGTTTCCCGGAGTTGTGTTGTGGCTGGAAGGGCGTCTGCTGCGAAAAACATATGCTGGATAAGTTGGCAATTCATTCCACTGTGAAGACCCCTGATTAATAAAGAGACTAAGCTAAAAAGAAAATGAATGAATAATGGTTCTACCAGGTAACCTGTCATTGTCCATGTTCTCCTGTGTGCCTAGTCATTACCCACAATCCTCGAGATCTACAATGAAAGTTTCATATTAACATCCAACTGTCACCAACACTGTTAACTATTTTCAATTTTAATTCATGTCCACATTCCAGCAGCAGTTCTGGTCATGGAGGCTTTCCTTGGTGGCACTCCTAACGCCATATTGGAAACACAAGGTATAGTGAATGACTTGGGCATCAGGAGTGCCAAGAGGTCCTGCCTTTATGTGCTGAGACTGTGTGGGTGGTCACAAACAACACAATATCTAACAACCAGTGACAACTGGACTGAAACAGAGGATAATGGACTAGATAATAAGGGGTCTGGAACAATGAAAACATAGTAACAAAAGATGAGGTGTGGCACTGGTAGTGGTGGGCAGAGCCAGGCTTCGTGACACTGAAACTGTTGAAGCAAATGTGTCAAAGCTTCGAAATATTTAGAAGTAACATTGCTACAACATTAAACACTAACATTATAATAACTTTTAAACATATTGTTTTTTTTCACTTCCCATAACATTTTCTTAAAAGACAGGAAAACATTCTCTAAAACATTGTAACTTGATTTGGTTGTAACTTTGTTAGGGCTACTTTTAGTTCAGTTCATAGAATGTTATTTTAAAAGAGGTAAACATTCTCTAAAATATTCTAACACAAACCCGTTTAGTTGGTAACATTGTTGAAACATCATACAGTACTTAAACTTTGCTATAACATTTCAAGATAATGTTTTATTTTTCTTCCCAGAACATTCTCTTAAAAGACAGGTAAATGTTCTCTAAAACATTCTAATCCCTTTTAATGGTAATATTGTTAAAATATACTCTAACATTTTCATCAGGTATTTAGTTCTAGTTCCCAGAAAACCTTACTTAAAGTTAGGACAATATTGTTTAAATAATACACAGGTTTGTTATTAACATTGTTTGTTTTCTTTTTGCTTCCAAAATGTACTATAACAATATGACAGACACAAAACATTCTCTATAACCATTTAAAATATTTTATTTTACTGTACAAAATTTAAAGCACTGCATATTCTTACATTCTTGTGGTCATTGTATAACGTGTAACAAATAAAGCAAAAAAAGGAAAAAATCACATGCTACTAGGTTTTACTTATTTGTCTGCAATAAGTTTTTGAACATGACATTTTATATATTTTAATAATTACAGGTTAAAATTAGTTAATTTTCTTTCTGTCTCGTTATTGAAAAGAAATCATGTTCTTATAACATTTCTCGTATGTACAGTATGTCACAAAAGTGAGTACACTCCTTCTACTTCTGCAAATATTTATTTATATTTTTTCATAGGACAACACTGCAGAAATGACTCTTTGACACAATGAAAAGTAGTCAGTGTAAAGTGTGTATAGCAGTGTAAATTTCTTTTCCTCTCAAAATAAATACAAATACAGCCAATAGTAGCTAAACCCCTGGCAACAAAAGTAAGCATACTCCTAAGTGAAAATGTGAATATCAATATTTTGTGTGGCCATCATCATTTTCCAGCATGGTTTTAATTTTCTTGGGCATGGAGTCGACCAGAGCTTCACAGGTTGCCACTGAAATTCTCTTCCACTCCTCCAACACAACATCATGGAGGTGGTGGACATTTGTCACCTTGTGCTTCTCTACCTTCCTTTTCAGGATGCCCCAGAGGTGTTCTATGGAGTTTATATCTGGAGACATGCTTGGCCAGTCCATCCACTTTTACCCTCAGCCTCTTTAGCAAGCCAGTGGTCATCCTGGAGGTGTGTTTGGGGTTATTATCATGCTGGAACAGTGCTCTGCAGTCCAGTTTCCTGAGGGAACTGCTTCAGTATGTCACAGTACATGTTAGAATTCATGTTTCCCTCAATGAAATGTAGCTTCCTAATGCCAGCAGCACTCATGCAGCCCAGAACATGACACTCCCACCATCATGTTTAATGGAAGACAAGACACACTTGTCTCTGTACTCCTCAACTCGTTGCCATCACACACACTTGACACCATCTGAACCAAATGGGTTTATCTTGGTCTTAGACCATAGGACATGGTTCCAGTAATCCTGGTCCTTAGTTTACATGCCAGCAGCAAATTGTTTGCAAGCTTTCTTGCATCGTCTTTAGAAGAGGTTTCCGTCTTGGACCACAACCATGCAGACTAATTTTATGCAGTGTGCGGCGTACGATCTGAGCACTGACAGACTGACCTCCCATATCTTCAATCTCTGCAGCAATGCTGGAACCACTCATCCGTCTATTTTTTTAAAGACAATCTTTGGATGTGACGCTGAGAACGTGCACCCAGCTTCTTTGAACGGCCATGGCGATGCCTGTTCTGAGAAGAACCTGTCCTCTTAAAGCACTGAATGGTCTTGGCCACTGAGCTGCAGCACAGTTTCAGGGTGTTGGCTATCTTCCTATAGCCTAGGCAATCTTTATTTAAGGCAACAATTCTTTTTTCAGGTATTCTGAGAGTTGTTTGCCATGTGGTGCCATGTTGAACTTTCAGTGGCCTGGTTGAGAGAGTGAAAAAGCTTTTATACCAAGTTAAACTCACCTGCTATCTGTGGATACCTGAGACAGTGTAACACTTATGAATGACATGATACAGGGGAAGAAAAATGACTAATTGTGCTCAATTGTTTAATTTTCACTTAGAGGTGTATACTTACTTATGTTGCCAGGGGTTCAGCTATTATTGGCTGTATTTTTGTTATTTTTAGAGGACAATAAATTTACACTGCTATACACACTTTACACTGACTACTTTTCATTGTGTCAAAGAGTCAGTGTTGTCCTATGAAAAGATATAAATAAATATTTGCAGAAATGGGAGGGGTGTACTCACTTTTGTGACATGAGAATGTTGTTACTTTGGTTTTATAAAAACATTGTGAAAACATTTTCTAAGAGAACATTGTTTAATCTGGTCCCTCACCAACATTTTCAAAACATTGCTAGAATGTTCTTGTTCATTGTTATGGAAAAAAAAAAAAAAAAACATTTTTTGAATATTCATTGGATATTACTTCAAAATGTCTTCTCTAAAAAATTAACACAACCTGTAGGGAATGTTAGCCAAAGTTGAGAGAACGTTCCCTTCTAGCTGGGATCTGAATCACATTAAAAGGTATGCCATGGTCATACTAGAGTTTTAGCATGCAAAATTCTGTCATATAGTGCTGTGAAAATGGGCGGGATTAAACAAGATGATTAAAAATTTTAAAATGTAAGTCATTGGTCTATTTAAATTTCTATACAGAGAGTTCATGTTTTGATCTTCAATTGGTCTTACACAGTCATGTGATGCAATTTTGCAGGCCAGACTTCATCAAGCTTTAACTTTGCAATGCAGCAATCTGCAAAACTTGACACACAAGCTTGCGTTTCCAGTCTGTCGCATTGTCTATGGGGAAAAATATGCAGTGTGACCATAACTTTAGAGCGATGGCATGCTTCATGCTACAGTATATGTTGGCAAAATCATACAAAACTTGTCTGTGATTTGTGAAAACACACTATATATTATGAATAGTGGAATAATAAAGATGGTAGGCCTATTTTTTCACAGTAAATTTCACAATTAAATAATTTTTAGATTTTACATGTGGTTGTGAATGAGGAAGTATAACAAACAAAAATAGCTAATCAATTTTTGGCAGTGCTCGTAATAGTCATGCATCACTGGGAAAAATGCAGACAACAATAATCTTACCAGTTTTACCAGCAACACAAATCTTTTACAGGAACTGTGAAGCTTTTACATGTCAAACGATAACAGTGGTTTGCTCTGTGTACATAAAAATAATGTGTTGAAAACAACACACTCATGTCTTAAGTTTAGGGTAAGTTCATAAAAACACAAATTGAACATCAAAGTCACTTAAAACACAAACACACAGACACACACACGCACGCACACACACACACACACACACAAAGAATCAGCATATGCATCTCATCAATGATACAATTTTGTTTTTGCTGTGTACTCCAGCAAAAAAAAAAAAATTATACAAATTTATCTTTATATATTTTTATTAACAGATTAGTTGCAAACAAAGTCCAAAAGGCAGAGTCCAGAAAGCAGGCTAAAATCAATGGGCAGACAGCAAATAATCAGAGATCTAAATTAGGCAAGGGTAAAAACAGAATGACAAACCCTAAAGAACATTCAGTACTTTTTATTAGTATTATTATTTTTTTTTATTAATGCTTAAAG